TGGAAGAGTAAGCAAGTGGCTGTGTGGGGCTTAGTCTGGGATTAAACCACAACAGAACTCTGAGCTCCTCTAAGAAGTCAAGCATGAAGTTAGAGTTTGAAGAAGGATGTTGTGATTTTATACTGCTCTTGTGCCCTTGAAACTGAATTGACTAAATATTTTAGGTAATCCCAAGAGCCTGTTTGGGTTATAGAAGCTAATTCCCAAGGATATCTGCAAATCCTGAGGAAGTGTTTTATCTCCTGTTCCTGAAATCACTGCCTGTGCTCAGCCCCTCAAGGAGCAAGAACAAGAGCTCTGCAAGGAAGTCTCCAGTTGCTTACATTATTCTTTATCCTGTGAAATTATCTCTGGCCTGATCTTAGCCTTTTTTATGTTTTAGTTTTTCTAGTCAATATAAAAGGCAGAGAAAACGGTGATAATTTTCTCTATAGATGGAATTAGTGCATCTAATTAATTAGTTATATCCAAAAGTACATTTTCAGTGCAAAGGTGGCAAGGTATAAAAATACAACTTATGAAACTATCCTGACTTTAACCTCTCCTAGATAACAGCATTTTAGTGATCCCTGCTGTCTTACTTTGATTTTCTGGGGATTTAACACTAATTACTCATGGCTTTTTGCATGCCCCTTCCTATTCATCTGCACCCTATTCCTCTGTTCAGGAATCTCGTGCTCACAGTAGAATTTTTTTACCATGTATGAATATTGTGTATTCCTTCTCTAATCCCAAAGCAGTTCTCATGTATGGGCACTTGTTCTATGAAGAAGTCTTTGTAAAACTGTCCCCTCTATTAGGATCAATTCTGGATATGGTGCAAGGGAAAAAAAAAATCAGAGACCAGTAAAGAAGGGTAAAGCAGATTGGAACACTGTAGAGCTTTGGAGGATTTCTGGAAGTGAAGCTGTGAATGGCCTGTCATTAATAATAAAGGAAATAATAAAAGCAGTTTCAGAATTATTTTTTCCCCTGGAGATTAAGCCTTCTGATAAATTTCTTCGTATCGATTTCTGCATAGATTTCCAAATGCACGGAAAGATGATAAGGGAAAGCTCATGTCTTGCATAATGCTGCTATGTGGCATAATGCCAGTTTTGGTGTCAGTGTTTCAGCTTGGGAGCTTTATCAAGTTAGAGTTAAACACAGGCTATATTTTATGGAGAGACATTAAACAGAGCTGGGATGACTGTTCTCAGTCCGTTGGCTCCGGATGGGAACAGGTTGCAATGCATTGTCATTTCATTCTCTTTGGTAATTCATTTTGTGCAATGTGAGTTTCGAGTTACACTGAGGGTTACACTCAGGTTACACTTATTGTCTGCTCGATCAGCTATTGTTCTCCTCTGGTTTGAACGGAACTAGTTCCTAATTTTCAGGATTGAATAGTTTTGCTTTTACCTTTTCAAAAATTTAGTAGGAATCTGTGCTGTATGAGCTACTTAAAATGTTGAGAGCTTTTTTTTCATATCTAGTAGTCTCCCTTACTGAGGTCTTGAAGTTTCAAACAGGAAAATACATCTTTATGTAGGTTATTATACAGCTCTTTTATTAATAATATTGAAATATTCAGGCTACTAGAGCTGTGTTGTTTTAATTACAGTTATAGTAAATCATGGTACAATTTTCTAGTAGAGTGGAAGTGTTTTATTGGTGTTTAAACTGAAATGGACAGTGATCATCATGCTATTTGTTTAACTGCTTGTCTGCTAATATTGCTACCACTGCTACTAGATGCTTTTTTATTTAGGTGTCTGAGACCTTAATTATATATATTCTCTCTTCTTGCCTTTCCTACAATTAAATAATTTGTTATCATAATGTTTGCTTTCCTCACTTGAAACATTACTCCCCTCTTGTGCTAGGGCTGGAGGTTTGATAGCCTGAGCTGTCCCTGAAAGTCTACTCAATGGGTTCCCCTCCCTCCCTCAGCTGCTTTTCAGAAACAGCAGCTGCCTTCTTGCTACACCTACATATCTCTTTGTATCCTCATTTGTTTTAACCATGGCAAGCAAGCATGACATCAGCCTTGGGATTATTTTTGCCTTTTTTTTTTTTCCCTGGCAACTGGACTTCTGGGTTCAAATAACACTTATCCAAGCAGAGTAAAGAAAAAATAAATAACCTTTCTCGTACCAGTACAGCAGTCTAGCCATAAGCCTCTAAACATGTTTACCTAGAGGAAGTAAGAGGTGGCAAGTGTGATAAATTCTTTACTTTGAGAATGAGATTCTCCAAATAAAACTTCAAGCATGAACCTGAATTTTAAAATGGAAATCGGGAACCTCCAGCCCTAAGTATTAATCTGTTCAGAAACAGCACTGGTAGGTGCCTTGAATTTTCATTGCTAATGTACTTTCTTCTGAGGCCCTTCTGCTAAACTGCTATGTGGACATTTCTTTATTTATATACAAGTTGAAAAAAGTACCTGCATTAAGAAATCTCATTGGTTTTGCCTATGTTTTTCACAGGTGTAGTCCTGAACCCCTGTTTTTGTGGTGCATGCAGTATTTCTGAAGCTATCAGAACCTGAAGGTGAGGGCATCAAATAAAATGATGACCCAAGAAGATGCTGCAGCTTGATTTTGAACACGTGACAGAAGTCATAAAAGGAATCATTTTTTTATTGTATTAATTAAGTTGCAGGGACTGTTAAGTTAAACTTAAAATAACCCTTTTAAAAGTTGTTGAGGATAATGAATTACCCAGGAGGAGTCAGAGCCTGCTGCTGCCAACTAAAGTGCTTGGAGACTAGAGATAGAAGTGAATGATAAGAAGCAGCTTTCATGCATTCAAATAAATTACATGTTGGGCTTGGCTTAATCCTGGCAGCAGAATGATTTCAGGGGTTTTCCCTACATTATCTTGGTCTATGATTATGCAAATATCCTTTTAATGTAGCGACTCCTTAACAGGAAATTAGTCTCATACTTGCTCATATGCTCTTGCAATCAACAGACACTTGCTTGCAAAATCCTAGTGTGTCTGAGATACAAAAGACACATTAACTGTTTTAAGTACCAAAATTTTGCAAACAGACAATAACAGGACATGCCCAGATATGCCAGGGATGTAGAAGATGAATCAGGAAAGAGATGTTTGCTAACACAAAAATATTCCTGGGTTTGAAAGTTCAACCAGAATGCAAATGGTACTAAGTTTACATTTGGTTTCAAAGATTGTAAGGAAAACACCAGAAGGAAGAAAATCTTACAGAAAAGCAGGATTAAAACTGAATAAAACATGGAAATGAGACAAAGCATAAAGACAAAAGAAATGGAATCATTTGTGTTACGTGTCCAGCAACCCGCTGAGCCCAGGTAATGCGCAGTCATCATTCACACGTATTCCTTACTGCAGAGCCATCAGGAGCTGCCCTGAAATGGGGACTGTCAGGGTAACCTGCTTTGTCTGGAAAACAGGAACTAAAAAATGACATTATAAAACAGAGGCTTCACCTGGAAAGACAGAGAGCTGGTATCCTTTGGGAAGAGAGAAACTGAAGTCAAAAAAATTGTGCTGTGTTCCTTTTTGTCAGTCTTAATGTCCATTTGAGTAACCAGGACAGCTCAATTCCTGATTTCTTGGGTTTGGAAATTCCTTCTAGGTGAAATCAAGTTATGCAATCTTTTTTCTTAACTACAAGTTTCTAGTATGGTAAAAAAATACCAGTTAGGTATTCGATATCAAAACTGGGATACAGCAGAGATAAGCTGGCAGTTGTACTCAAGGTGACCCTCCCATTATTTTGTCTTTTTTACTCCTGATTGAAATAAAGACAGCTACATCCTTGGAGTTAAGAGGGGAGCCTAACAAAATTAATCCTCTAACTTTCCAATGGGATTTAGGGTAGTATCTGATTCATTCAAGGTCTTTTGAAACTCCCATCAAAGTGAACTGTTCAAGGCATGACCTTAAGGTAACAGTTCAATCAGCCACAAAATCTAGACTTCCAGCTCTTTGTTTTAAGTATAAGACCTATTCTTTCTTCTATATCCAGTGTATTCTGTTTGTAATAATCAGAAATTACCATCAGAGAAATTGAAACTAATCTGAGGCTCATTAAGGAGTGAGAATTTATGCTTAACTACTTAAATAAATTCTTGTTGATCTGGTTTCTGGAGATAAACCTGTAATTTTATCTGTCATAGATGGGAGAAACTTGCTAGTCCAACAGCACGGCATCTTAGAGTTAAAAAACCCAACACACCTATATAAGTACAGAGAGAGTGTCTGCCAGTGCTGCTCAGAACTTCCATGACTGCCCATCCAGACAAACATGCTTAATCCATTTTTTGTACTGAGCATTAGGCAGTCACTGGTTTTCTTTGACTGCTCTAGCAAAACCTAGCAGATGTTAGATTAAGTCTGAAGACTATAGAAAAATTAAAAAAAATAATATTTGGAATTGCTTTTGATTTCAATAGATTAAAGTCCTAAGAAACAGACAATGGCTGTGGTTCCACTAGGGGTTTCAGCTCCAAAATAATTTTGCCATGGTCCACTCAGTATATGCCGAAATCCTTGCACTCATATTTAGCAGAAATACAGCCCTATGCTGATCAAGTCAACCAAAACCCATATTTTATTTACGATCCATTCAATGCAGCAAAACCTTGAGCAGTACCAGGACAAATGCCTGAGAGCTCTTTTTCAGACTCAGCGATTTAGAAATTCGCTCTTTTAAAAATCAGGTCAGGTAGCTTTCTTCTGGAGTAACATTAAGCCTTTAACATTAAGCTGACTTGAAATTTAAGCAAACTTCCAGATCCATGAAGGCTTTGATTATCTGGTAGCACAGTGCAATCACAGGCTCCTCTACACGCTGTTACAAAAGTCTGTCTCAGCTCAGAGGGCTGTCCTTGGACACAACCTGGCTCTGTAAGGCACAATTTCTATTTCACCTAACAGGTAGCAAAACAAAACAAAGCCAAAGCCTGCAAGGATTCACCTCCCCTTAGAACAAAACTCAAATACAAATATGAAATGGTTCGGAAAATGAAGCATTTTCAGAGGTTTTTTAACTATTTTGAAATTAGGAAGGATTTATATCAATCTATATATTTTCTTCTACTCCTCAGTATGAGAGTAATCTATCTAGAGTGTTCCAGGCATCTTTTTTCCAATTTGCCATCTTCTGTAAACAAGCAAAAAGTTGTTACAAATCTGTTTGCCAAAATGCGCGGCAAAAAAACAATTTAGAGGAAGGCTACTGGTTTATTTGTAATGTTCCACTAGTCAGTGGGCTTTTTAAATGTTAATTTTTAAATTATAGTTTCAGAGTTGAAGAAGATGCCAATTGTTCAGGCATTACAGCATTCACAACTGAACATATATTGGCATCATAACTGCTTACGGTAAGTTAAGAGTCCTATCTCTTTAACATTTCAAGATCCTGTATTCTGCAGTTTTATTTCCTTCTTGGAAAGCAAGCAGGATGTTTGCTAGGAAGTTACTTTTATTGAGAAACGTTGGAACTTACTTAGCTTTTTTGGATGAGCCATTTAAATGGGAATTATGTCATTTTGCCATAAGCCTATCTGGTGATACTAAACCTAGATAATCAGCTTCGATGGAGATCAAGTCTTTGCTGCAAACATAGAAAAATACCTAGCTGGCTTATAAGCCTACTACTCCCATCAGGAAAAGAGATAGATTTAAAAATTATGTGAGTTAAGAAGCTTTGAATCGTATGAGACATTTTCCTATTTTTGTTCTACATAATCGGAGCAGAACTGCAATAGCTTTCTGAGCACTTTAGGAAATAGAAATCATTTCACAGGGTTATGAAGCCATCAGAGTTGTGAAGGCATTCATTTCTTTGATGAGGGCTCATATGAGAAGACATGAGAAGAGTGCATTTAACTCATTTCCAAATTGCTGAATGGGACTCTGAGCATCTAGGAATCCTGTAAGAAACAACTTTACCTCTTGTAGAAATGTGATGATTAACAGATTTTAGAAAGGCTACAGAGTGGCACATTGTTGCTGCATGAGAAAGCCAATATTGTAACTAAAACATCCTCAGCAGAACGTATCTGGCAAAAAACACCTTTCCTCCTGAGTGCTCTTGTATGGTTTGTCATTACATATGCAGAACAAAAACCATCAAATCTAAAATATTCTTCATCCTTACAAAGCATCACGATCATGGAGTGATACAATTATTACCTATTCCAAAATCATCATCAGAATACCACACAAAGTTATTTTTTGCAAAAATCAGGCAGTTTAAATAAAGAATTAAAGGCCACAATGAATAGATGGCAACTAGATTTCGAGACTAATTGGATTGTCACATGAAGTCTTTTTATTAGCACATCCACAGGGAAGAAATGTCGCTCTATTGGGAATGGTGAGAGGAACGATACAGACTCTCTTGGGAGTCGATCAGGAGAATTTCCTCTGGTTTATTACCTCAGATCTTCTTTTATAGACTGATATGTGAAAGTACAGAAAAGTAAAACTCTTCTTGGTTAGCAAACTAACACATCACCATCATTGGTCAGTGGGGTTCACCACCCCTGACCTTCTCTTGCAAGAAAACACGGAACAGACAAACAGCACCTGCAAGGGTATTTTCTATCTCTGAGGGTTGTTTTAATACGGAACAGACAAACAGCACCTGCAAGGGTATTTTCTATCTCTGAGGATTGTTTTAATTCCTCCCCATGATTTCCCAGACCACTTTCCCAGGCAAGACTGAGAAAGTTATGTGGCCTGCTATTCCACAGGCACTGTGCTCCCTGCTTCACAGTTAGCATCCATAAAGAAAAGCTAATTATAGTCTGCTTTCCTTTTAGGTCACCTGCATCTCTTGTCTTGAACACAAATCAGAGATATTTTATGCTTAAGTGAAGCAGCCTGTCCAAAGTCACTGTCTGCTCTAAAAAACAGCATTTTCACACAAGTTCTTACTGCAATCCACACAGACTCAGAAGATGTAGAATCACTGCCAAGTGTTTGCCACTGACAAACAAGTGTCTAATAATGAAAAAAAACCGTATCAATAAACTTATAGCAAACAACCTGCAGTTCCTTAGTGATAATCATTATTTCACAATAGCCAAGGTCCCTCTAAGGGTTAAAGGTTGCACACTGAAGGTACGGAGCTATGTAAAGAGGGAAGGGCAAACATGCCTAAGGTACACAAAACACTGACCTTAATTGTCATCCCCAGGAAAAGGGGGAAGTGGTGTCTGCCATCTCTGGCATCAGCCATCTCTTCTTGCCCTGGCTCTGGTTCTCTTTGGAGCCACCTTCGACTTCATTCAGTTTTTTTACCAGTGGCTTAGTAGGATAATCGAAACATTTTTTTCCCCCACTCCCACAATAGTTTTATTTTGGGTTGAAGAATTAATTCACCTCGTGTAAGCTCAAAAACAAGTGCCAGAGATGATGGAAGGGGAAGTGGTGGGGATGCATGATCCGAGCAGAAAACAGGGTCAGCTGACATTTACCCTGTCTCAGTTCACCCTTGGGACTGAGGCCTCAACACTCAATTAGAAATTGGGTCAATCAAGGCTTTCACTGATGCCACCAGGGGGCCATTCCAGATGATTTTGAAAGAAGACACAAAGTGTCATAATTATGTGAGACTGTGTTTTAATGAGCAATTTGATTAAATCTACCTTGGGGGGGGTGCTAAGCAGAAGTCATAAAAAGCTGTTATTCAGAGGGCAGGAATTTAAAGAAGACCCAGAGCAGCCCCTCAAAAACAACTACAAAATACATGCTATAAAACTTCCTTCTCGTTACAATGACAATTAGGAAAATTTAAAAATACATATGCTAGAGGCTTAATTTAAAAAAATAAAAAAAATCAAAAACATGAACATGGAATGAAGGAATCAACAGTTGAAACAATGCTTTAAGCTTTATTAACTTCTAATTAGGGGTTGTCCTCACTTTTTTTTCCAAAGAATAAAAGCTACAATAACTTTCAGAAATAGAGACTTATTTCAAGTTCAATGAAGTAGCAGGATCAATAAATGCAGGTTGTTGAAATACTAATTTTTAAGGCACAAAACCAAAATGTGACATTATTTCTCCGAACTTTTTCAAAAGTATTTTTGCATCTGAATTTTCATTCCTCCTGCTGTGGCATTCAACAGGACTTGTAAATTGCAATGATTGTTCAGTAGCTGGGGTTTTTTTAACTCTCCTTTTCTTCTTGGGTGCATTTAACAGTTAAAAGTTCCTGCTTCCTTTGATATTTGTCAATCAGCTGAGGATCAGCACCCCCTTCTGGCTTCAGTAATGTGGGGTGAAAGCTGGAACTCCCATTATCATGTAAGAAACCTGTACAGGAGAAACAAGGAAAAGCAAGAATATTCTAAAACTTGTCATGACAAATAGGCAAAGGAATATTAATGCCACTACAGTAGCCCAACTTATCCAATTGTGGGGCTGAGGAGTAATTTTGCAATGGCTCTCATGGGCCATGAGGTAGCTCTGTGCAGGTGTGGCAGCCAGTGTTTCTTCATCACTGTAGGCAGTGGCAGCACCCCTAACACTGCTAAGGCAGAGACTTCATTGACAGCAAACCTCCTGTCCCACTGCTTCCTCCTCTAGGGTGGGCATAAAGGCTGAGAAGCCACATCCCTGTCTGTTCTGGGCTCACGCTGCCTGAGCAAGCATCTGTCATTAGTCTATCCTGTTTAATTACACCACTACTTTGGTCAAGAAATTCCTTTATAATCTCGGTACTGGTACCTTTAAACTTGTACTTTCCAACTCTGAAATGTTATGCTACCACTGCATTTTGCCATATCAAGCTGTACATTACTTATGTGAGAATTGTTTCAGGTATCCTTCACGTGAAGTACAGCCTGATCATGTTATCTATCGGCTTTAACTTCAAAAATTTCTTACAAAAACTTTCAAAACTGGTCATTGCTACAGTAGAAAACAGAAAATCAATGTGATTTTGTGCATGAGGTAAACAGATGACACTTATCAGTGAAACTCAAACCAGCCAAGTCTGCTGAAAGAAAAAACCAAACCCTCTAAAACCCCCAACCAATCCACCATATAAGTAATATTCCTGAGATGGTCTAAAATCAAATCTCATCCTGCAAGCGGAAGAACAAATGTGGATGTTCAGACATCTCTGTACAGATCAGCTCACTAGGCTCTGGCCTTTTTCAAGCCAAGTTCATTGGCTTTTCTGGAAATGCTCGATATTATTTTGTTTTAAAAGAAATCACACTCCATGCTGTACACTCATACTAAATATGCAACAGATGTATCTAGCTATTAATACATGTATTTTTTGTTGCAGTGTGGAAAAGGAGCACTATTTCAGGCATAGGTACAACTGCAGTGGTAACGGAGCAGACTGGGGGAAGATGAGCAATACTGAAGTTTCCTGAGTGGGAAAGCAGACTGATATGATGGTGTCATCTGTAGTCTCACCCTCCAAACAGATCATCCTTACAGATAAATTCACACCTGAATATAAATGCTGTTGACATTTACAAGATCCCATTTTCTCCTGATGGATGTTTTGAAGGATCTAACCCATGCTGCTTCATCTGCACTGCGATATCAAACAAGTAGTCATAACATTCACACCTAAAATAAATAGGGAAAAAATGCAATGTAAGTGAAGCTCAAGTCTTACCATGTTTTATGAAAATTAGTATTTTCCTTCCTTAAGATTTTATCACCAATGTGACAGTCTGACTGGACAGCTTTATTATTGTTTATTTCCAGTGCTGTGGAATGGAAAGTGACATTTTGCTACATAATATTGATTTGCTGCATTTCCTTCAGCAGATGAGGTAAACTCCAAAAATGGGACTAAGGAGGGATATACAAACAGTACTGGCAGGTGTCATATAAAAGCAGAGATTGCCTGCATGTTTCATATGAGGAGGGACTTGTTGACTTGCCTGAAAGGAAAACGCTGGCAACCCTATCAGCCAGCACTGATATGAAAGGAAAACCAAGAAACAGAATCATGGATGAATCCATTCCCAAAAGCTCCCTATAAATGCAGTGAGGCCTTAATATTCCGAATCATTGTCCATGGGCTGGAAACGTGCATAGCATTAAGTTCATCAAGATCTTGAGGCAAGAGATAGCATATTCCTGAATTGTACTCACATAGTTTTGGCTTTTTCCCATGTCTCTCCCCACACATAAACACCGTGACGTCTGACCAAGACAGCACAAGAGTCTGGGTATTTTTCCATTGCACGTGCCATTCTCTCCTTGAGATCCTTCTCTTCTGGTGTATTCTCAATAATAGGAACCACTAGTGTATCATCATACCTATAAAAAAAAGCCATGTTTGTGTATTTAAATAACCCCTGTGCTTGGATGTATGAAGCTTTTCCCTAAGAAAAAGATTATCCTCTGACTGTGTAAAACATTAAATCCTAAGCACTAGATTTTATGCTCTTCTCTTGTGAGTCATGCTGTAGCACAGAAATTCTCAGGAACATCTCTCACTCCCAAATACATATTACGCTGGCAATACCTGAGCTACACTTGAGGCACAAAAAGAAAACAACACTTTAATCTATTAGGTGTAGTTGTTTATTCCCATATCACTTTGTAGTTGGGACCCTTTACAACTTTTTCAAACTTTTCATCCTGTACTGGCATCATCTACAAGCTTTACCTCAGATTAAATTATTTGAAAGAATCATATCATGAAGAAGGAAATGGAGCTGTTTGCTGGAGAGCAGAAAAAAATTAATTTAGGTAGTCCAAAAAGCCCCTGGAAGATGGTCCTGCTAAAGCATATAAATAGAAGGTAGAGTCAACACATGAAAAATAAATTCTCCGTGATGGAGTCATTGGTGGGCTACATGTGATCTTAAGAGAGCCTGAGAACCCCAGTTCCAAAGACAAGATGATGCACGTTACTCAGTGGAACTTGCCTAAGAGTTTCTTGTGAAGGAGGACTGGGATATTTGGCATTGTTTGAACCTTAATTAACACTAGCAGAAACTTGTTTAAATAGTTTTAATAAGTCCCCAGTTCAGGTTCAGATTTATCATTGAGATCACATAGATATTTCATGAGTGGATGTTAGTAGTACCTTCTTTCATAAAACACAGAAAGAAAGTAGTGGTAAAAAAGCCCAACACCAACAGTTTGTATTTTAAATCAAATACTCGTGAGATAAAGTCTCATCCCTTACGGTTCTCAGTGCTGACACTTCCTCAAGGAAGGCTATAAAAATAAGTGAATGAAGAAAGTGAGAAGGTGGCATTAGAAACTCTACTTTGACTTTTATAAATTCTGATCGCTAAAATTACACTTGGAGTGTTTGTTACTAATGAGGCCAAATGAGCTAATGGACTGGCTTCCTAGGTTCTACTTCCTGCTTGAGCTTGGAAGTTGCTATAAATACCATAACCTAACCAGGACCATAAGCTTTCTATCAAGAATTAAAATCTCAAAAATGTCAAGAAGACTCTGAATGAGCTAAATACTTGAGATCTCTTTTTTTAAAATTTAAATATAAGCAGCCTGCATTTAGTCAAACCTTGATGTAAAATACCTTGTGACAGTCTGACTTTCAAAGCTGTTTACTACTGATCTAATTCTCCTTCTATGGAAATCAAAGGTAAAACCAGTCTGGGATCACTGGAGTCATATTTAGGCCAATGTATACTACTGATTATTCTATCTGTAGCATTTTCCTGGACAGCTTCCAGAAAAGACATAACTAGAAACAACACGCAAACCCTTTTTTGAAAAGTGCCATTTTGTATTTTGAATCCAAGGTCCCATTTGTCTTTTGAACTCAATGGGAAGACTTGTGTGAGGCAAGCCAGTGGTATGGATGAACACTTACTTATGAGCCATATAACCTGGAGCTTTGATTTCTTGAGTTTTTTTTTCTGGTAAATTAGTAGAATGACACAGGAAAACTCGGAGGTATGGAACCGAATAAATACAATGTGTCCCGACTAACACTTAGGAGGGCTTCAGAGTACAAAATGCATATAAAAAATTGTTGTGGATTTTTTAAAAACCAGTATTGTTAGATAATTCAATACAAGGTCGTGTACTTTACCACATTAAAAATGCACATGCTAATGGTGACTTTCTGGTAAGAAAGTAAAGTTGGCAAGTCAACCAAAATGGAATAAAATATGTCTGGGCATAAAATCACATATGGCTTGCTCCCTTGCCAAAGGGCAATAGTTAGATACAAAAATTAACATCAAAAAGTGGAAAGAATTTAGCATTTCAATTTCTCATCTCCTTGTCACATGTTATATAAATGTTGTTTGCAGATCCCAATTCAACACTCTGTGGGTGGAGACCTCAAAACAAGCCATCACACATAATTTGGAATAACTCAGCACTTACCTCAGAGCTCATCCTTGAAAAGTAATAACATTATCTTTAATGAGCTGTTTATTCTGAATTTTCTTTCAAACTCTGTCAAGTAAATCTGAAATCCTCTACTCTCTTAACATGCCCTAAACTAGCACAGGCAGTGATACGTGAAGTCCACCCAAATGTAGTTTGTACATGCTATCAATCCAGCCTGGTGTTGGCTGGCTCCAGTTTCAGCTGAATGTTGTGCAGATGTGGTAACATCTCAGGATATAGCTCTTTATTTGGCTTCTTCCTGTAGCTCAACAGACCACAGCAGCCTTGGCATTGCACGATTTTATCTCAGATCTCTTCCACAGGCTTCAGATCTTACAGAAAGCCAGTGGTGACTCATTCATTCCAGAGGTCTCTTTACTTCTTATTCCTAATACTTTATATTGTACACTTTCAAGTATATAACTCACATTACTTGTATTTATATTACTGAAAAAAGATTATCAAATATCATGCCTCTGTTCCTAAATATAGAGAAGTACCTGTAATAGCCTCCTGAAGTACACTTCTGGATTCCTTTTATCATCTCCTGATGAGTAATAGAGAACTCACTCCCTGGGTAAAGAAGGGTAGCCATAACAGCAGCCTTGGAATGTGTATGGATCACTGCGCCTGCCCCTAAGAACAGAAAAAGAAAATCTAGAATTAATTTTAAAATGTGTCTACTAAGAAAATTTTATTCATATACTTGATTAATTATCTCTGATTAGGTATCTTCGCAAATGGTGATCTGATGTATGAGACAAAAAAAAAATACAGCAACCTAAATGAAGGTATGAGGTAGTTTACTCACATAAAAGGGTTAATTATGGATTGTCTTAGGACACTTCTGTTAGCTTTTAGTTAGTGACAAATTCCAGGAGAGACACTACTTTGTAGAAATTCAAGCAGAAAGACTACTACATTTCTTTTCATACTGCAATGACTGAGACACTCTTTAATTTTATCAGAGTTCTGAGGTTATAAAGAATTCCCAAACTTATTTGTGAAATGAAAGTTTGAAGCCTTTTACTTTCTTTTCATGCTTTCTTCAATTACCTGCTGATTCTTTGTAAAAAACATTCATCATTATCTTATTGTGTCACAATGGAACATTAGGTAGACAGTAATTATAATCTACTTATAAAGATGCAATGCTGCTACTCCTTTAGTACACATGCAAACTGCTTGTGCAGGAAGACCAGAAGAGACTCCCTAAATCCTGTCTAAAATAAATATGTAAATTTTGCAACAACAGCTCTCTATTACTGTCTACCTGCAAAAGAAAAGTTTCATACTGTTTTCACCTATTCCTATTTTGTAACTGTTAATCTTAGCCAATGGATGCAAAAGGATTTAAACTGTAATAGCTAAATTGGCAAAACCATGATATAAAACTGCTGTAATCCTGAGCTTCCCCTGCAACCTACAAATATTCTGCACTAAAAATCAGTGCTGAAAAGATGACCACAGGCATAGCTACAAGAGAAGATTAAATTCCAAGTGATACTGACAGGATGTTACTATGGATATCCCACTGCATATATACCTTTGCAAATCAATTCATTTTTACAGCTTCATGTTGTTCACTGTAACTTCTATGGATAAGGAAAAATGTACTGAATAGAAATTTTGTGGATGTACACATACAGAGTTTCAGTCACTACTGAACTGCAAACATTGCTACATACCTCTCATAGTGTAGGCATTCATAAAAAGTGGTGTGCACTGGCTTTTCTTTAGTTTCTTGTGCAGTGGAGGACCACTGATGTCCTGTTCATTCATGTCACAAACAAACATATCTTCTGGCTGTAAGAAAGAAGAAATTATTTTGATCTGTGATATTTCACCTCAAATAGTTTTGTTTTCCCTCTAGGGAAACAAATACATACAAACCATGTATTTAACACAGAATGTGATTTTAACTCTGCAAAAGGGCTGTAATGCTCCACATTTATACCAGATTCTAATAGTAGTTACCGACATTGTGTAACAGAAATTAATATTAGGTACTCTTTTTCCTCAGACTGGTGTCATGCAGTTATTTGTAAAAATGCAATTTTCTCAGAAAGGAGATAGTGTAGTTCAGTAATAACAACAGATCAAAAGGTAAAGTAGTAACTGACTCGAAATAAGAAATGTAGATGTACTTTTCCTTCCCTACTTAAAAGAACCAACAAATGACATGAGTTAAAAATAATATATTTAACTTGTAGAACTATTTCTTTGTAAAGTTTGCTTTTAGTAGCCTTACATTAAATGTTACCTTTGCATCAATTATCAATTCATAATAGTACAAAGAATTGTTCAGGACAGTAATAAAATTTTAATGTTATTTTAAAAATCAGCAGAAAATACAATTGAAGGAGATCTCCTCACTGACTGTGCTTAATCCTCTGTTACTGCGAGCCCAGACCAGACCATTGTGGTTATCTTACATACCTTTGCCTGCCTTACTTCTCCACATCCCCAGCAAACACTGCTGTGAGACCCCAAGTTTCTACCAGTGCAGAAATTCCTTTCACTCCTCACTGTATTTATCCTCAGATTTATGAGATGACAAATCTTTCCAAGTATTACTCTATTCTGGGAGAGGGAGTCCTGCAGTCATAAAATAGGTATCATTTACTGTTCTTCCCTCCTCTTACATTTTGGGCTTTTTTGGAAAACAGACAGATAGACAAGGTCACCCTTTCATGGGGAGAGCCCAGTTATTTACTAAGACTATCAAGACAAATATTTGCAATCACTCAAACGAAAATAAGCAGCGATGAGGTGTCTGTTTCGGTGGGTAACTTGAAACCATAGCCAGACAGGTACAGCTAGCCAAGCCTGACAGAGAATAAAGCTGGACTCCCCAGCTCCACTCTCACACTGCTTTATGTTAACTTAAAGCAAGGAGAACATCAAGACTAATATACACTGGCCACTGAAACAAATACTGGCTTGCTAAGATAGTGGAGAAATCATCAGCTGTTTCAGTAATGTAGTCAACAGTATAACAAGTTTGTAACTTCATGTAAGGAAAAATGAAATTCTGAACAAAGGCATTTCCATCCATCTCAAGATGAGCACCAAGGTAAAAGTACAGTTTAACACACCTGTATTCTCTCCTTTTGGACTCCTGAAGGAGCGATGTAGATTTCATCCCTAGGAAAAGTTGCAGATGAGAAAAGTCAGTAAACACAGCTGGGCAATGACTGTTCCACTGCACAGGCATTCGAGCTCTTGAGCCACTGAAAAGGAAACAACAAAACTAGGCCCTCACAATTAAAAAACTTTCTTGCTCTTTCCATACATTGACAGGTAAATAATTTTCAAAATAGAACCGAATTGTACAAGGACAAATAAATCTCTATCTTGCAAGGGTGCAAAACCCTGCTTTCAACCTGACAGATATCTGAAACACATTTAAGTGCAGCCTTATTTTTCCAACAAAGAAAAACAGCCTCTCCCTGCAGTAACTGAAACTCAAATTCTTAGAATTCAGAATGAAAATTAAATGAGAAATTGCAAGCAGATACTGATCTGTGACAAGTGACAAAACCATTACATAAAAATCCATAAACTATCTATAAACAGTAATAATTATCTGCAACATTCAACACTGTAAATACTTTCTTTTTTAACTGCAGGTTAAGTTCCTAGCGCAGTTCCATGTTTGTGTTGATAAAGAGATAGCACTAATTCAGTGTGATTAAATGACTGAAATTTAAGCAGAAGTGCATCACTTCTTGCAAGGACTACATGAACAAAAAACCGTAAAAACTGATTGAAACTAAAATGATTTCAAGATGGTACTGCATTATTTTCATTATTAGCACAAAAACCCCAACTAGATTCTGTCTCTGAATTGCAATCACTACTTGGCTACAGCAGTCATGTTCTAAATCCAGGAGCAGAGAGACATCTAGTGAATAATTAACCAAGTTACAGATACATCTCCTATGGACCATGGGATGTTTCTATTTCTGGACAAGAGTATTGGAGCTGGTCTGGAGCACAAGTCTTGTGAGGAGCAGCTGAGAGAGCTGGGGGTGTTTAGCCTGGAAAAAAGGAGGCTCAGGGAATACCTCATTGTCCTCTACAACTGCCTGAAAGGAGGGTGTAGCCAGGTGAGTTGGTGTCTTCTCCCAGGTAACCAGCAACAGGACAAGAGGAAATTATGTAAATTTGCATCAGGGCAGGTTTAAATTGGCAATTAGGAAAAATTCACTGAAAGTGTTACCAAGCATTAGAATGGGCTGCCCAGGAAAGCAGTTAGCTCACCATCTCTGGAAGTTTTTAAAAGACATTTAGGCAAGGTGCTTAGGAATGCAGTTTTTTAGTGGAAAACTTGGCAGTGGTAGATTTATGGTTGGACACTCTATGGTATTAAGGACTTTTATGAATCTAAACAATTCTGCTATTTTAATTCTTCCAAAAAGAAAACTCTTAAGATGATGTACTGCTTGTAGCACTAAGATGTCTGTGAAGCACAGAAAAAAGTGGCTTTATCATATTTGTAATTTTTGACATTCATAAATTAACAAAGCCAGCATTGCATTAATTTAGTCTTGATTTATTTGCATGAGCAAGATGAGAAATTAAGTGGTCAATTCAGTCGCTTATGACAGACACATAGTTTTTCTTAAACTAGATTTTTTTCTTTTTTAGAACTTCACCAGAAAGAGAAAATCTGATGACAAAGTAAAGTCTTCAAATACAAGATACCTCACAAAGAATTCTAATCCATTTTTAATATGCTATGCCACGTCCAAATTGACTTTTTTTTCCCTTGATAGTTGATATGAACTGCACAGTGAGTAAGGCTGATTAAGATTAGCTGGTAAAAGAATTGTTATATTTGAATCAAATTTCAACTGTTCTTTTACATTTTCCTTTCTAACAATGCCAAGTAAACAAGCTATGGAACTACTGATGAAAACTGTATTACTTTATTAGTGCATTCTCTGGTAATGCCATTTGCCTTGCCACAACCAACAGGAGTTGCACTGGAATGACAAAGAAAATGGGCTACACTTAGCTGCTGATGACAAACTAATGCTAGAAAGATCTTCCCATAGACAACTTTAAAAACAAGAATTTACCCTCTTTTCATTCATCTCACTATTACTGTTGTTGCTTTGTTTGCAAAATCAAGCAAGGAGGTGAAATGACCTGCACAAAGTCCAAACAGCACAAGTATGAGCATTTAGGGTTTTTTATTTTTTTACATATATATGTATGTATGTGAATATATGTATCTAATTAAAATACATATTTGAAGAGCAATTGCTGTTCATGCATGCATGCAAGTGTATACCAGAAAAACGAGAGGTCAGATACTTTCAAGATTGTGTCACAACCACCTTGTGACTGGGTACAGAATTGCAGGCACTGTGCAAGGCTTTTTGCAGAATGAGGACTTATCTTTTTTTTTCAGTGGCCACTGAGAGGAGCTCTGTTTCCACTAAAAGGATTGGGGGTTATGAATAGGCAGGAGACAAGCAAATTAAAACACAAAGTGGTTCTTCTTCGTAGGAGACACACACCAAAAATTGTTGCTGTTACCTGTCGTGCTTTACATAGATGCAAAGTATTTGTCTCCTTAGAAATTAACCTCAGTAGGACAGTAATTTCCTTCTCAGAGGAAATATCTGCCCCGGAAAATGTCCAGGGTGAGATTGATCTTATTTAACCACAGGCATTTGAAAGCTGTGTGCCTGATGTAACCCAGTCTAAATTCCATAGTCAATGAAATGAAGAAGGGGAAACACATTGCTCTTTAAAGACAATTCATCTGCTTTAATCAGGGGTAGGAAAAGGATGGGATAAGGTCACTCTGAAGTTGTCTCTCTCCATTGAAGGGTCTACAATGATTAATTCAAACTATTCACCTCCCTCCTATATGGTTAAATTTGACATACTGCTCATTTCCCCCTCCAACGTCTTGCTCACTCTCGACTTGCAAACATTTCCCATGGAACTGAAATGCCCTCACCAACTGCTAAACACAGCCAGCCTCTCTCTCACCACAATATTATTTCTCTTTCATCATTACTTACCCATGTTTCAAGCTGATTCCTCCACCAGTTCCTGTTACCCAACCTAAATCATAAAACAGTCTACAAAGCTCTGGGATAAGATTCCTTGGATGTAACCCATCCTAAAAAAAATTAAATAAATTAAAAACCATCAGAAACACCTCAAACCTAAGAATTCAAGCTCTCAAAGTGAGTTTAAAGGACTTTAAAGTACTTTCATACTGCAGCAAAATGGTCTAATTTATGCTAATGAACTTCAGTTACAAAATAATTGCTTACTTACACAATGCCCTTTATGCTCTGCCAGGGACATCATACCTTGAAACAAACAAAACCCCCAAATAAGGTGCATGTCTGACTATTCTTCACAGGAAAGGTCTCATCTAAAATTTATTTGAGTGCAGTGGCCTGTAAATATTACACCATCAGGATCATGTTAAGGACTATTGCACAAAAAAGGGAAAATAAATGCATCTGACATTATCCATTTTAAAAGCTTGACTAATAGTTTTCCTATTAAATCAGTTTTTCTGTAGGTTTATTTTGCTTGATTTCCAAATTTTAGTAGAACAGACTTTATTAGTCAATATATATTTTTAAACAGCACTCAAAAATATCACAGAAAATATTTGAAATTTATTTTATGAACTTTACATTCCTACATTTTTACAACACAAAGTTACTTTACATGCAGTTTAGTCAGAAGGCAAAGTCTTTAGGAGGAAAAAATAATCTTGTATTTTTTCCATATTCCATTGTTTATTACATTAATACCTGTATCTATGTATAAAACTGCTGCTCTTATGGTGTGCTTTTTTTATAGGATTTTTTTTTTTTTTATTGCAACAATAGGAAGCTTTAAAAGTTTTTTCTAAAATGACAAATGATTAGCTGCTATACTGCTCATGTCAGTCATTAATGTCCATCAAATAACATTTCCAAGAAATGTTTCTGTAGCAGCAAGAATCCACATTAGGGGAGAATATTTTGTCAACACCCACAGAATAGAGAGAACCAAAGCAAAAGCAGCATACAGCAAAAACAGGTGGTGTTGGACTTGCAGAACTAAGGGTGGGGAGGCAGTGGTTCTGAGGCAGGAGACTGAGCAGGTAATTTACTAGAGGCACGTTTGACAATGTCTGGAATCTCCTGCTCTAACCTCATCTTTACAACCTCTAATGACAGTAAGTCATAAGATTTGTTCTCTCTTACCAAAGATCATGGACATGCAGAAGATGGTCTTCCCTTTCACCTCAGTGATGATGTTTTATCTATTATGACAACTCAATGTACTGCTCTATTTATTTTTTTTTTGCTTTGTTTTGTTTTGTTTATGATAAACTAGATTCTTTCCCCCTTTCCTGACAGGCCACATTATCTAGGCTGCTGATACCTCTCATCTCCCTGCAGTCAGTTCTTGCTGTTTTTGAAGCTTGGGCTGGTCTCTCCACCAGTGTCACATACAAACTGGAGAGGTGTTCTGAGCCTTGTCCAGGCGATGCCTCCATGTGTTTACTGTGTTTGATCAAGCACTGCACCGCCAGCTCATGCTCTGGTTGTGATGATACATAAACCCCCAATCAAACACCAGTGCAAAAAAAAAAAAAAAAAATCAGAAGAAAACTAAATCACAAAACAAATCTAAACAACCCCAGTTAACATAAAAAGAGCTGTGAGTACTGCAGATTCAGCCAGACTCAGGCAGACTGACAGCTGGCAACATCCTGGAAATTGTACTATATTTTATAACATGCTTATATAGGAGCATATAACAGTTAGAGCTGGAAGAGACCTTTGGAAAAAATCCAGTGCAATCCCCCTGCCAAGGCAGGGTCATCAAGAGCAGGTGACACATGAAAGCCTCCAGCTGGGTTTGAAATGTTTCCAGAGAGGGGGACTCCACGACTCCCTTGGGCGGCCTATTCCAGTGCTCTGCCAGCCTCAACGTAAAGAAGTTCTTTCTGGAGTTGAGGTGGAACTTGTGCTTTGGCTTGTGAACATTACTCCCGGAGTGCTGGACACCGAGTCTGCCTGGATCTTGCTGGCTGAATTTCCCCCTGGCCGCCAGGGCACACTGCCAGCTCATAGCCAACTTGCCATCCACCAGTACTCCCAGGGCCTCCCTGCTAATTAGCGACTGCGAAGCTGCTGGCTAATTACCCGGGTTCCAGAACAGCCTCACCCCGCGATGGCGGGGAGCTCTCGGAGCGGTGGCGGG